CCAGTTGCTACTCGCCAAAGTAGGAGGTGGAACAATGTTTTGTATAGTATGTTATGCCAATTGAGCTTGATGTCCCCTGCAACTATGGTCCCAATCCCACAGGTTCAACTACTCAGTCCCTCTGAGTAGCTGGCTGTGACCAAGCAGTGACCACAACCTTGCCCCTTGTCAGTTCTAGTATACACCTGGGAATTTTAATCATTCATGTAAACTTATAGGACCATTGTCTGCCAACCCTATACATGTTCTTGGGTACACTCCCTGCTTCATAGACATACCAACTAGCTCAGCCTGTCCACCCATCTGTCTACCCATATACCCATGTTTGCCTTCACTGACAACACAGTACTGTATGTGCAAAAGATCACCAGAATTCTTGCCTGTCATGTGGGACAGGTTTGATTCCTAGCCAACGTACCTCCAGTGCAGCCACTACCCATGTGTCAGTAGAGGCTTATGTGATGCTGTGATGCTAAGGAGTTTCAGCGGAGCTTCCAGACTGAGATGGACTAGACGGAAAGGTCTCATGATCTACTTTGGTCAATGGGCCAGTGAAAACCACGTGGATCACAATAGTCCGATTCCTGGCCAGTGTTTCAGTACATTGTGCCTGGGATCACCATAAGTCGGGGGTTGACTCAGTGTCAGCTAACAACAACAAGAAGGCCCTTTCCAGCTCTCAGATGCTATGATTCTATATTGGGTCCATTTCTTCAGCAGGAGGCTCCTGGTCAACCTGAGGTTTTCGACTGAATTCAGGAAACTGGCTCCATCATGCCTCTTTCTCCTTGGCTTTAGAGCATTCTGGTCTGACCACTTTCCTGGGGTCTTGCTTATGGACTGGGAGTACACCACCATTTGTGGGCCTTCCAAGTCCAGAGCCAGGGGGTACTGGTCTGGTTACAGTGAAGCTAAAGACTTAGATGGTTTGGGGATGGTTAGACAGACATCCTGGAAATGTATTCATACTGTGAAGTGTGTTCTGATGGTTAAAAAAAAAAAGACAAGATTGTCAAGCATTCCATATTAACAGTGGATGTAGAAAGTTTTTCATATGGATAAAATGCATATGGTACAGAGGTAAATTTTTATGTAAAAATATTCTGTACAACTTTCTGTACAATACTGATTCTCATCAATATGATGATGGCAAGAGGTGGTGGAAAAGCTCAATATCTTCAGCCAAAACCAGGCCAGAAACTGATTGTGGAACAGACCATCAACTGCTCATATGCAAGTTCAACTTGAAGTTAAAGACAATTAAAACAAGTCCA